GTAGGTAAAGATAATAAACTTGTTAAAATGAATATAAGTCAGTGAACTGGTATTTATGACATTTTGTATAAAAATAGATTACAAAATTTTTTTCCTTTTTGAGGCATATTCTTAATTTATAATTAGTTTATAATTCTATAAACAAGCATTTATTTTAAGCGTGCCTTTTAAATAGTATGTAGTATTTGATTTTTATAAAGGTCATTATGAACTCCTAAAACTTACTTTATTTTGATTGCAGATATTATAGAACAACCAGCACTGGTTCAAGCCAATAGTAACAGAAGATCTGTTAGTACTCTCAAGCCTTGTGCTAAAGATGCATATATGCTTTTCCAGGTATTTCAGTTAATAAAAATAATTTTTATTATCATATATAGTTTTGAATTTTATATTTTGGAATTTTATGTGATTTTTTTAAATGTCAATTTTTAAGATTGTCAAATTTTATAGTGTCAGTATTTTAAAAAATATATATTTTATTGATTTTTTACAGAGAGGAAGAGAGAGGGATAGAGAGTTAGAAACATCGATGAGAGAGAATCATCCATCAGCTGCCTCTTGTACACCCCCTCCTGGGGATGTGCCTGCAACCAAGGTACATGCCCTTGACCGGAATCGAACCCGGGATCTTTCAGTCCACAGGCCGATGCTCTATCCATTGAGCCAAACCAGTTTCTGCTAGTGTCAGTATTTTTAAAAAGTTCTGAAAGCTTAAAGAGCTAATTAATATGGTAAAATGTTATATTTTAAGGAAATAAAATGAGTTAAATGCACAACTATAAAAGAGGTAACTTAAGGATGACTAATCATATAAAATAATTTATTTAACAGGAAAGTTTAAATAATAATTGGCTACTTAATATAATTTGTATAAAACACTTGATTTTTTACATTATTTGTTGTGAATAAATCTTTTAAGTAAAATATAATTTATTTGTACTGAAATTTTTATTAATTTTGTGATCAAAGGGTTATTTTAGGAGGATTTTAGTTTAAAGAACATTTGATTAATAATTTATTGGTGTACTCGGTATACTGTTGATGGTTATGATTCATTAATCTGTGTAAACTCTATATAGTCAATACTTGTATCACTCATTTATCTGTGTATTCTATTGTCAATAGTTATGTGATTCTTTAAAAGTTTACCTATATAATCAAGTATACAATTTGTCAAAATTTGAATTACCAATGTTTAGTTTCTAAGGAGTGAAAACAATTACTGTATAAGAATAAATTCTTAAAAATTTTATAAACACTGAGTTTTGAAAAAAAATCTCTTATTCCAGCATGTGAATGTTTTATGTATTGTTATGAATGTTTTATTTATTGTTTGACTTATTTTTCTAGGATCTTTGTCAGTTGGTTAATGCTGATGCCCCTTACTGGCTAGTAGGCATGACAGAAATGACTCGAACATTTGGCCTTGAGTTACTTGAGTCAGTCCTGAATGATTTTCCACAAGTCTTTTTACAAGTAAGCCATTTGTAGTATCTTGCAACAAAATTAATATTAAATTTTTTATAGATATTTTTAAGAAAGCAACATGTATTTTTCCCCCACATTAATAGAATTATAGCCTTAGACTTTAGGCTTATAATAATTTAATGTTATCTTACATTGTTGAAGTGCCCTAGCATCTTGAAATTTTAACATTAGAAGGAATCCCAGGATACTGTATATTCAGGCATTTCTCAGTCAATGAATATATTAGGGAAGGTGGTATGTGAGCTATATTTATAATATTTAAAATAGAAGTTATTGATTTTTATTTGTTTATATGTAGCTATATGGTTTTAGGTAATTTTTAAAAAATCCACACTCAAGGATATGTTTTTATTGATTTCAGAAAGAGGGGAAGGAAGAAAGAGAGAGAAGAAAAGAGAGAGAGAAAAAGAGAGGGAGGGAGGGAGGGAGGAAAATAGGGAGGGAGGGAGGGAGGACTGACGGACATTAGGATATTATGAGAGAGAAACATCTATTGGTTGCCTCCTATATGTGCCCCTACTGGGAATTGAAACTGTAACCTTTTGATGTAAGGGATATATGTATCCTTATATTTATAGCAGTGTTATTTACCATAGCTAAGATCTGGAAACAAGTGCCCATCAGTAAATGAGTGGATAAAAAAGTTATTGTACATGTACACCATGGAATACTATGCAGCAATAAAAAGGAAGCATCTCTTAACCTCTGAGACAGCATGGGGGGACCTGGAGAGTATTATGCTAAGCAAAGTAAGCCAGTCAGAGAAAGACAAGTGTCACACGATCTCACTCATGTGTTGAATGTAATGAATAAAGTAAACTGATGAACAAAATAGATCCAGAGACACAGAAGCATAGAACAGACTGTGGAATCTCAGAGGGAAGGCAAGGGATGGTGGTGTGTGAGAAGAGATCAGCCAAAGAACTAGTTTGCATTTATGCCTAACCAATGGACACAGAGAATAGGGTGATGAAAGCCTGAGGCAGGGACTGGAGTGGGCTAGATGAGGTTAATGGGGGGGAAAAGACTTTTAACAATAAAGATTTCCTTTTTAAAAGAAGGATCTATGACCCTTTGAGACAATATAGAGTGACCTGGAAATGATTATGTTAAGTGGAATAAGCCAATCAGCAAAATACAAATATCACATGATCTCACTTATATGTGGAATCTAATAGACAAAATAAACTGATGAATAAAATAGACCAGAAGCATGGAAACATGGAAGATTGAGAAATCTCAGAGGGAAAAGGGAGGCAGGCAGAAAGAAATTAACCAAAGATCTTATATGCATATGTGCATTGCCCTGGACACAGACAGGAGGGTGGTGAAGGCCTGGGACAGGTTGGGAACCTAGGGGAAAGAGGTAAAGGGGGGAAAAAATAGGGGAAAATCTGTAATACTTCTCAATAAAGTTTTTAAAAGTACATTGAAATGAATAAAAAAATCTGGAAGGAATTAATTTGGAACTAACAATGACTAATTTATCTTTGAGAGCTGAGATTATACAAGGCTTTAAAAATATGTTTTTTATTGATTTTAGAGAGAGGAATGGAGAGGGAGAGATATAAACATGGATGAGAGAGAAACATTAACATTGGTTTTCTCTTGCACTCCCCCTCCTGGGGATCAAGCCCGCAACCCCGGCATATACCCTGACTAGGAATCGAACCAAGTGACCTCTTGGGGCATGAGTTGACACTCAACCACTGTGCCATACCAGCTGAGCTTTTATTTTTATTTTTTATCTGTATTTTTCTAATGAATCTGGTATTTCCCACTAATTGTTTTTTCTTGAATGAATCTGAGTTTTAAAAATACATTTTAAAAAATTTGTGATTCTTCCCTAGCCGACTTGGCTCAGTGGATAGAGTGTCAGCCTGCAGACTAAGGGGTCCCGGGTTTGATTTCAGCCAAGGGCACATGCCTGGATTGCGGACTCGATCCCCAGTGGGGTGGTATGCAGGAGGCAGCTGATCAATGATTCTCTCTCATCATTGATGTTTCTATCTCTTTCTTCTCCCTTCCTCTCTGCAATCAATAAAGAAATATGTATTTTTTAAAAAATTTGTGATTCTGAACAAATGAATTACACTGTGCCTTATTGTTCCTTTTTGTTTGTTTGTTTTTGGTAAGATTTAAGGGTTAGAGCACATGTGTCAAACACAAGGCCCGCGGGCCAAATCCGTCCTGCCAGGCCTTGCAACGTGGCCCGCACCGCGCTGTCATCACTGCACTCCGCTGCGTTTCCATCACAATGACAGTTTATGACTGTTCAGTAAACCATTCGGCCCGCGATTTAGGCTGGATTTTAGATTTTGGCCCCTTCTCTGATTGAGTTCGACACCCCTAGGTTAGAGGATAAAATTTATGTTTGTGTCATTATTCTTAGCCTCAGTGATATTTGAATGATTAAAACAACAAAATAATGTACATTTGAGGTTAGATATTAAATGTTGACTGGGCCTTATATTTTCAGTAAAATAGGACTAGTTTCACAAGGAATTAACAGATATGGGGAGGTTTTCTGCATAACATACTATGACTATAAGTAAATTTAAGAATTCTTTTTCAAGATTTTCTAGATTAAAAAAAATGCTTGTCATTGTATTTTTTCATCAGCTTGTGTTTGTGTTTTGTTTAACTAATCTAAGTATAACAGAATATTATGCTCATTAATACATCTGCATTTACACAAAAGAATAAATTGTGTAACTTATACTTTCTTTATTAATCAAGGTTTCTCTCAGCTGCCTATTTTAAATACTTTATCTGTTTGAATTTGTGCAATCTATTTTCCTTCTTCTGTTCTTTTTATTTTTAATTGCTAATGTTCTACTAAAATTAAAAATCCTAGCAATAAGCATCACTTATTGTAAAATCATTAAATATTTGTTTTAATTTAGAGTCTTTTTTAAAAAACTTACTGACATATTATCATTTTGATCTCACACTGTCAGAGAACAGTGCTAATTTCAGAATTGTTTGTAAACATTAAAATAATAAACTACATAAATTTATAATAAAGCTAATTTATTCAGAGATTATTAAGAAGTTTATTTACTGTGAGACCGTTTTAGCATGGAGTACAAACTAAGTTAATTGCTTTTCTTTTCCTTTTTTTTTTTTTTTTTCCAAATAGCACCAGGAATTTAGTTTCCTCCTAAAAGAGAGAGTATGTCCTCTTGTGATAAAGCTCTTTTCTCCAAATATAAAGTTCAGACAAGGTTCCAATACTTCATCTTCTCCGGCACCAGTTGAAAAACCGTATTTTCCAATCTGCATGCGTTTGCTGAGAGTTGTATCTGTTCTGATTAAGCAATTTTACAGTCTTTTGGTAAGTACTAATTTTCATATATATATTTTGTGTGTTATTATAGGCAGTGTTCTTTTTATTTAATTTATTTTAAAATTATATTTTTATTGATTTCAGAGAGGAAGAGAGAGGGAGAGATAGAAATATCAATGATGAGAGAAAATCGTTGATTGGCTGCCTCCTGCATGCTCTACGCTGGGGATTGAGCCCATAACCCAGGCATGTGCCCTGAACCAGAATTGAACTGTGATTCCTGGTTCATAGGTTGATGCTCAACCACTGAGCCCTGCTGACCAAGCGGCTGTGCTCTTTTTAGAAGATGATCTATGATACTTGATCTTTTTCACTTCAGCTAAGCAGACTTTTTTTTTTATGAGTACCTATAAATATTCTAGATACTATAAGGGCGGGGGGGGGGGGGGCAGAAAGAATGGGGAAATAACAGTATAGCCAGCTACAGAAGAGATTGAATGTTACTGCCTCAAGGAAGAGAAGGCCTATTTCTGTACTTTCCTCATCAATTGGGGGTGATAACTAATTGATATGACTTCCTTTTACAACGTAAGGCAGCTCTAGGACTGTGTGTGCAAAGAGGAATCTTCAGAAATATATAAGATATTATTTCTTTGGTGTTATAATCTTTTACATTCGACTTAACATATGGGAAGGTTCAGATATTCTGGTTTCTCCAAGGGCAAAAGTTAGAGATATGGTTGTTGTGGGGTGAGGTATATGATTGATGTGGAATGCTACCCTCTTATTTTTCTGTTTTCATTATCTGGTTTAAAGATACATCTTTTAGAGGACATACTAGAGTAGTAATTCTTATACTTTTTTAGTTGTAGGACTCCTTTATATTCATAACAAATAATGAGGAGCTTTGGCTTATGTGGATTATTTCTGTAATTATTGTATTAAAAACTATCTAAGATGATACTAAAACCCACACTACATGTTATTTTTTTGAATTTTACTTTTATGAAAAATACCTGAATTTTCCAAATAAATAAATGCATTGTTTATTTTTTTCAATTCTCTTTAATGTCTGGCTTGATTAAGATAGCTGGATTTTTATGTTTTCTATTTTCATTCTTTTGTTTAGGTCAAAGCATATGAAGAAAATCAGACTTCACAAAGATGTATAGTTGGAAAAGGCAGAATTATTTTAATGGTCTTTGAAATAATAGTGGATATTTTTCTTTGATATCACACTAAGCCAAGCCAGTGACACTTTCTTGAAGTATAAAATCTGAAGTCATATTAATGACATTTTCATACTCTGTCACATTAAAATTCATTGGTTCATCTTGTGCTTCAGTTATACCATGCATAATTTTAGAATATTATTTTAATTGTGCAAATATTTTAGCACTTTATATGGTGCCAGAATCACATGTTAATATCACCAATCATTTATCAGATTAAGAAACTGTCAAGATTTTGTGGCAGATACAAGTTTCCCCAAATTCTGCTTTTTATTTGAAAGCTTAAATTTTATTATTGGCAATAAATACTGTCAGCTGTTTCCCCTAAAGTGACAGGCTTACTTTGTTAATTTTTGAAAAAATATCTTAATACCCACAAGTCTGAATAGTTATAGTTTGCCATTGCTCTTTTTCCATAAGGAAAAAAAGTGACAAGGCACAGTTTTTTCCTCCAGACAGCCATTGTGCTTTGATACACTGCAAAAGTGCTTCATGTGTACTTCGCATTTTGCCACATAGAAAATTAAAAAGACATGCACTTATGGGTCAGATTTAATAAAATGATAATTTATATTTTACTTTTGTTATTTTGATTTCTTTTACCCACCATTATTTTGTGTCATCAGTACAAATGTCAGCACATTGAAAATGGCAAGTAATATCTTCGTATTGTTAGGGAAATAATTATCACCTCACAGAGCCCCTGAAATAGTCCCAGGGACCGCAGTTTGGGAGCCACTACCCTAGAGACTCAGTGTTTTTCCCCAAAATTCACCAGTGTATCTTGTTCTGAAAAGTAGGGGTGAAGGTATTTATTTATTTATTTATTTTTAATTAAATTATTATCTGTGTACATATACCATTGCCCCCCCCCTTCCCATACATGCCCTCCCTTCCTAGAGTTTTGTGTCCATTGGTTATACTTATATGCATGTATACAAGTCCTTCGGTTGATCTCTTATCTACCCCAGATCTCCCTACCCGCCCCGCTGTAATTTGACAGTCTGCTTGTTGCTTAACTGTCTCTATATTTATCTTTTGGTTCATCAGTTTATAATGTCCTTTAATATCTATAAATGAGTGAGGTCATGTGGTATTTCTCTTTCATTGACTGGCTTATTTCACTCAGCATAATGTTCTCCAGTTCTGTTAAGGTTGCTGCAAATGATGAGAATTCCTTCTTTTTTATGGCAGCATAGTATTCCATTGTGTAGATGTACCATAGTTTTCTGATCCAATCATCTGCTGATGGGCACCCAGGCTGTTTCCAGATTCTATTATAGCTATTGTAGATTGTGCTGCTATGAACATAGGGGTGCATATATCCTTTCTGATTGGTGTTTATAGTTTCTTGGGATATATTCCTAGGAGTGGGATTACTGGGTCAAATGGGAGTTCCATTTTCAGTTTTTTGAGGAAACTCCACACTGTTCTCTATAGTGGTTGCACCAGTCTGTATTCCCACCAGCAGTGCACGAGGGTTCCTTTTTCTCCACAACCTCGCCAACACTTGTCGTTTGTTGATTTGTTGATGTTGGCCATTCTGACAGGTGTGAGATGGTACTGCATTGTCATTTTGATATGCATCTCTTGGATAATTAGCGACTTTGAGCATGTTTTCATGTGCCTTTTGGCCTTCCTTCTGTCTTCTTTTGAAAATATTCTATTTAGGTCCATTGCCCATTTTTTAATTGGATCATTCATCTTCCTTTTATTTAGTTGTATAAGCTGTTTGTAGATTTTGGAGATTAAACCTTTATCAGTGATAACATTTGCAAATATGTTCTCCGGTACAGTGGGCTTTCTTGTTGTTTGTTGATGGTTTCTTTTGCTGTAAAAAAAACTTTTTATTTTAATGTAGTTCCATTTGTTTATTTTCTCTTTAGCTTCCATTGCCCTAGGGGCAGTATCATTGAAGAAGTTCTTTTTGCATATGTCTGAGATTTTGCTTCCTGTGGATGCCTCTAGTATTTTTATGGTTTCCCGACTTATGTTTAAGTCCTGTATCCATTTTGAGTTTATTTTTGTGTATGGTGTAAGTTGGTGATCTAGTTTCATTCTTTTGCATGTGTCTGCCCAATTTTCCCAACACCATTTATTGAAGAAACTGTCTTGACTCCATTGTATATTCCTGCCTCCTTTGTCAAATATTAATTTAGCATAGTGATTGGGTTGATATCTGGATTCTCTATTCTATTCCATTGATCTATATGTCTGTTCTTGTGCCAATACCAGGCTGTTTTGAGAACAGTGGCTTTGTAATACAGCTTGAAGTCTGGTATTGAGATCCCTCCTACTTTACTCTTCTTTCTCAGGATTGCTGTGGCTATTCGGGGTCTTTTATTGTTCCAAATGAACTTTTGGCGAGTTCTTTCTAGGTCAGTGAAATATGCCATTTGTATTTTAATGGAGAGTGCATTGAACCTATCGATTGCTTTGGGAAGTATGGACATTTTGATGATGTTGATTCTACCAATCCATGAACATGGTATGTTTTTCCATGTTTCCATCTTCCTCTATCTCTCTTTTCAGTGACATGTAGTTTTCCGCATATAGGTCCTTTACTTCCTTAGTTAAGTTTATTCCTAGGTATCTTAATTTTTTTGGTGCGATGGTAAATGGAATTGCTTTTTTAGTCTTTGTTTCTGTAAGTTCACTGTTGGTTTATAGAAATGCCATAGATTTCTTGGCATTAATTTTGTATCCTGCTACATTGCCAAATTCATTTATTAACCTGTTAACCGGGGAGTTCCCTTTTTAATTATGCAACGTACAACGGGTGCATACTCTTTCACTAGGATGTGTCAGTCCATCACGCCCAATGGACATAATTTTATATTATTATTATTTTTTATTTATACTTAATTAAAGTAAATGAAATATATATTTTTTCGTTTATTTATAAAGCACAAAGGAAAATACAAAATTACAAACAAATAGAAAAGAATACCAACAAAAAATGGAAACATCAAATTAAAAAATTATAAATTTTACAAACAATTATAAAGATTATGAAAAATATATACTGTCCCTCTCAGGGCGCAATATATATTTCAAAGACATATTCATACGTCCTACCTGTTCCCAATATTGTTTACGTTTGACGTATTTATAGGTCCCGCTCAGTTAACAGGTTAAGTCAGTTAATTTTTTAATGGAGTTTTTTGGGTTTTTGATGTACAATATCATGTCATCTGCAAATAAGGATAACTTTACTTCTTCTTTTCCAATTTGGATGCCTTTTATTTCCTCTTCTTGTCTAATTGCAATGGCTATTACTTCCAGTAGTATGTCAAACAGGAGTGGTGAGAGTGGGCATCCCTGTCTTGTTCCTGTTCTTAGAGGGAATGGTTTTAGTTTTTGCCCATTGAGTATGATGTTGGCTGTGGGTTTATCATATTATAGCTTTTATTATATTGAGGTATGATCCTTGTACTGTAGGTAACTGATCTTGAAAGGCTAGTTCTGTTAATGTATCTATACTGACTGGAGGAAATTAGAATGCCCCAGTCGTGTTGGGACAGATACAACATGTCAAGTATACTATATTTTTTCCATTTTCTAACATCTGAGCTAGGTGTCTCTGCCATTTGAATCATTTAGGCTCCATGCTCAAATATATTTTTAAGGAAAATAACCTTAAGGAATTTATGAAACTTAATTATATATGGCTAATCTCTCTCTCTCCTGCCTTTCACTTACCGCTTTTAAAAAGGAATGAATGGGGATAAATTGGCTTGTCTAACGTAATTTTTTACTTCACATACATTTCTCTAATAGAAGATCTTATCACTAATAATCTCATGCTTGCATTTAATATTCTAATCCATGTATTAGTATTTCCACCAGGATGCTTTCATTTTAAGCATCACTTATCTCTTGACTATTATCCTGCAGGAAAGGACTAGAGGAACTCATCACCCTTCATGCCAGTATAATGGAATTAATAAAGTATCTTCATGTGACAATTGGTCTTAAGCCATAGATACTAATCTTAATACCTACATAGTACTTTCTAAAAAATAAGGATAAACGATTAACCACATTAGCAGATCACTATTATGAGTTTTCAGGGATGTACTTAGACACTGATTTTTTTTTTTCCTATTAGCTTTTCCATATATAATTATTTTCCCTTTTTCTCCACTCCCAAGTAAGAATTTTAATTTATTTAAAATTAAAAAAAATTGCCGGGACTGGTTTGGCTCAGTGCATAGAGCGTCTGCCTGCGGACTGAAAGGTCCCTGGTTCGATTCCGGTTAAGGGCATGTACCTTGGTTGCGAGCACATCCCCAGTAGGGGGTGTGCAAGAGGCAGCTGATCGATGATTCTCTCTCATTGATGTTTCTAACTCTCTATCCCTCTCTCTTCCTCTCTGTGAAAAATCAATAAAATATATTTTTTTAAAAATTTAAAAAATTTATTGGTTTGTCCATAGGAATAAGATAAGAATGGAATTTATAATTCTCAGATTTAAAGTAGTATTTTAAAATTTTATACTTTTTTAGGTAACTGAATGTGAGATATTTCTGTCACTTTTGGTGAAATTTCTGGATGCAGATAAACCACAGTGGCTACGAGCTGTTGCAGTAGAATCAATACACAGACTCTGTGTGCAGCCTCAGCTATTAAGGTAAACCTCAGCAGTATTTTGTTAAATGTGTAGGTTTGTTTTTATGCCAGTAGGAAGTTAAAGTATTTCCAAATATTAGTGATTTTGTAGACAAAAAAAGTGGATTATGTGTGTATGAAGAGGTTGGGGTGTTGGTGTGCAAAATAACTGGGAATTGGTAAAGAGTGTGTTAGTTATTGTCAACAGCCAAATTTACTGAGTTAACATGGCCAAGATAATTTTTTAAGAACATTAACCTCAATCTGAACTTTCATCCTAAGTTAGTTAAACACTCAAATATGAGTCTTTTAAGTATAGCATTGAGACTGATTTATCAATGTTACTTGGTATACATAAAGTTAAATATTTTAATATGTCCAAACATTTTCCCCCAAAATATTTAAAATTATTTTACAGATCATTTTGTCAGTCCTATGATATGAAACAACATTCTACCAAGGTTTTTCGTGATATTGTGAATGCACTGGGCTCTTTTATCCAATCATTGTTTCTTGTTCCTCCTACTGGAAATCCTGCTACTGCAAACCAAGCTGGTAAAGGCTCATTCATATTTTCATTTTTATGTTCTGTCACAGTTTACAGTACTCACTAGTCGGAGATGTTTTATAGATATCTTTGACTAGAGAAATTTAATTACTAAAATGTATTATATCTATTTTATAAATTTTGTTATATTTATTTATTATATTTTATATTTTATATTTTATATATGAGTGTAGAGATTTACACTTGAATAATTTGAGCTCACAGAGGCAACTGTGTTTATTTCTTTCCAGAATATGTTTTCTGATATGTTTTTAGTTACGCTAATCACATATCTTCATTTTAGAAGATAACCTCATTTGGTGCCTTTCTTTAAAGAGTCTGGTTATTATGTTATGAGGTCTTTTAGTCTCTCTTTTAACAAAACAGGTGAACTTTATTTAAGTTTGGAAGTCAATGTCTTCTTGTTTCCCTTTACCTTCTTTCTTTTCCACTTTTTATTTTTTATTCTCTGATAAAAAGTGATTAACAAAAGGTATAAAGTTTGTCTGTATTTTTACTTATTAATACCTTTTATATAAAAAAAGGAAATGGTGCTTTGGTGAAACTAGGATGCTCTCTAATAGCCAAAGTAGGATTGATAAATTTCATTTATTTGTATAATATCCATTCCTATAGCATAATTTTAAAAAATTGACAAGGTATTTGAATATTATTGATATGTAATTAAGTAGTAACATGATATCTTTGTTTTCATCCCCTTATCCGAAAGGAAACAATAATGCAGGTGGCACTGTCTCAGCACCAGCTAACCCGGGAATGTTGGGGATTGGTGGAGGTGTTACTTTGTTACCAGCATTTGAATATAGGGGAACTTGGATACCTATTCTGACTATAACAGTACAAGGCAGTGCTAAAGCAACATAGTAAGTAGTAGTAGTACATTATTTTATAAGGAAATTTATTGTTGGGAATGATATTTTATCCTAAAATGTTTCTCTCTGCATTATATTTTACATTTTAGACCTAGTATTTATTTTTTTACATATATATTTTTATTGATTTTGTACAGAGAGGAAGGGAGAGAGATAGAGAGTTAGAAACATCAATGAGAGAGAGTCATCGATCAGCTGCCTCTTGCACACCCCCTACTGGGGATATGCCCGCAAGCAAGGTACATGCCCTTGACCGGAATCGAACCCGGGACCCTTCAGTCCCCAAGCCGACGCTCTATCCATTGAGCCAAACTGGTCTCGGCTAGACCTAGTATTTAAAACACATTTTAGAACTAATTTTCTTTTGCCGAATTTTGAGAAATTATTTAAGAATTGATTTTTTTTTTTTGTACTATTTGTATGTTGTTAGTAGCATTATAAAACAAAATGTGATTTCTTTACCTAAGGACCTATTCAGCTGTCTGTATGGAGTTTTAAGTATATGGCTTGATTTTATACACTGTGAACTTGGGTTTTCTAATACTGAGTGACCTTTAGCAAATTAATTTCCTTATCTATGAAAAGAGAGTAGAGATATATCAACATTTCAGACAGAAACTCTTGGGTGTTCTTTTACACATGGATTAATTAGTATGTTCACATTGGAGCTTCCCTGTTGAATTTGTGTCTTTCATTAATTCATTGTGAGGTTCCGTCTAAAATTATTTTCACTATTTTCTTTGAAGGTAAAGCACACATCTAAATCTTAATTGTGTGTTCTGTTTTTTTAGACTTTTAAGTGTGTAATAATTTGAAAAGTTAACTGATGTATAGACATAAGTAGTTTTGACATAAATATAGGTAACATATTCTTTTAGATTTATTTCAGTATGGCTCCCTTCAAAGTTGGCCTTGTGACTTTTTTTTTTCAGTATGACCTTAAGTTTAAAATATTTAAATAAATGTGTTACATTTTATTTAAGAGTAGAATTGATGTAGTAATTCTAATAAAATATCACTGAAATGGTTACATAAGAAAGTATGGGCTTTGTTTTAGGTTTGTGATATAAATAAAAAGTATAGTTACCTATTTTTTTTTTTACTACAATGGAATATAGTTACTTATTTTAGCACTTAAAGTCTATACCATAGAATTTGGTAATTAGAGTTTTTTATACTTAGGACTATTTTTATATGTTTTAGTTGCACTTTACCAATAGATTATATGTTCTTTAAAAATAGAGATCAGTTTAACAAGACGCCTAACGTTCATTGGGTTAGTATGTGACTCTATGAGGCTAATTAGTCTGACAAGGATTAGACCCAAAAACTTTACCCGTTTGAGCTTAAATTTTTTGATCAATAATATACATATATTTTTATTGATTACCAGAATTTTACAATGCTCAGAGTTGGCACTTACTAGGGGTTAAATTGATAGGCTTTAGAATCAGACTTGGGTTAAAAACTGCTGATTAATAACCTTAGTCCACTGGTCGGCAAACTCATTAGTCAACAGAGCCAAATATCAACAGTACAACGATTGAAATTTCTTTTGAAAGCCGAAAACCGACATCTGTGCATGAGCCACAAGTTTCAGTCGCACTGTACGTGAGAGTCCACATGTGGTATTTTGTGAAAGAGCCTCATGTGGCTCGTGAGCTGCAGTTTGCCGACCACTGCCTTAGTCCATCATCCAGGGCTTTTGTGAGAAGTTAAATGAGATAATATATATATAAAAAAAACTAGTCTCAGGTTAAGAGTAATTTCTCAATAAAAAATAGCTATATATGATATTTTTATTGCTTATTCTAAGTTTTACATTTTTAAATAAATTTACTGCTTATTAAGACTTGATTATGATTCAGGGACATTTACACTTTGGGATAGGAAGTAATTTTTATTAGCATGCTGACACCAGCTGCAGCTTGTTTGAAAGATTTTATCGGGTCTAGTAATACTTAATGTCGTTTTTAACATTCGTTTAAAATCTTGTTTGGCGTTGACTTGTATTGACATAACCTTCAAACACGTGGTATCTACAGAACGTGTGAAGTGCAATTAACAAGTTTTGCTTGAAAAAGTTTGTGTTTGGTTTGGTTTTTGTTGCAAAACTAGGGCTAAGAAGATGGCGGATGAAGAGCATATTCGGCACTGCATGCTTTACGAGTTCCAATTAGGAAGAAAAGCAAGTGAGGCTGCAAAAAGCATCTGTAGTGCTCTTGGTCAAGATGCAGTTAGCGCCAGAAAATGCCAGCGTTGGTTTGAGAAATTTCGCGAGGGAAATTTTTCGTTAGATGACAAGAGTGGTCGAGGCCGTGTGTCCAATTTTGATCAAGAAGCTCTTCAAGCTCTTTTGGTGCAAAATCCTCAAATTACCCAACAAGAGCTTGCGACAACTTTAAATTGTTCACAAAAAGCAATTTCCAATCAATTGTGTGCACTTGGCAAAGTCCAAAAGTTTGGAAAATGGGTTCCTCTTGAGTTGACCGACAATGACCGTAATCAAAGAGTCACAATTTGCAGTTCGCTCCTCTCTTGTCAAAACCGTTTGCCGTTTTTAGAGCAAATTGTTACCGGAGATGAACAATGGGTGTTGTATATTAATTTGAAAAGGCGGCCTCAATGGTTGGACAAAAATGAGGCTCCGCAGCCCACACCAAAACCTGACTTGCATGCGAAAAAAGTGATGTTGTGTGTTTGGTGGAATTTTAAAGGAATTCTTCATTATGAACTTTTACCATCTAACCAAACCATTACAAGTGCAGTGTATAGTGCCCAATTGGAAAGGTTAGCCCAAGCTTTAAGAAAAAAAGAACCCGCGCTGATTAATCGGAAGGGCGTAATTCTTCACCATGATAACGCACGACCGCATACTGTAAGAATCACTGCTGAAAAACTGCGCCAGTTGGAATGGGAAGTTCTCCCTCAACCTGCATATTCTCCTGATATTGCCCCTTCCGATTACCATTTGTTTCGTTCTTTGCAAAACTTTCTTCTTGGAAAAAAATTTAATAATGAAGAATGCCTCAAAAATGCATTGACCGAATTTTTGGCATCAAAATCACAAGAATTTTACAACAGAGGGATTAAAATGCTTCCTGAGCGTTGGGCACAAGTAGTAGA